CTCGGAGCCTGCGAAAACAGGTGAAATCTGAGGACCTCTGTCTAACTGAACCTCGGAAATATCAATGTACTTATTTATTCTTTTACAACACACGCACACACACACATCATGTATACACATAGGCAAATAGATATAACGATACAGGTGACGCACACGCACGCCCGCCTTCGTGCATGTGTAGCCAACGTCCAAAGCCCGAGACGAAACAGCGCGGATGGCCTTACCGTTCTTCCACAGGCGGATCTGGCGCCGCGTCGAGATCCTCACCGACTCATGAAATCTTTCACCCCTAAATGTTATTACGGAGCTTCCTTTCGGTTCTATGAACACGTTCCGGGTCGTGTTCATAACGGCTAACCGGACTACTCGGAACACATAAGTTGGGCATCCTGTCGGAGGAAAGGCCAGAGGGCGCTTAGTGACTCGTCGGAAGGGCTTCGTCAGGACAAGTAACGCCTTTGAAGCTGTTTTGATCCCCTTGCCCTAATTCTGTCTCCGTATCCCTGTTTCATTAATATTTCACGTATGCTCAGTTACTACCATTAGCTTATTTTGCTAAACACTTAATTGCTATCGTTATCAGTTATACTTGGGGTTGTAAGCATGAGGTTCAAGAGGACAGAAACGCGGAAAGAGGTTCAAGAGGATAGGAGAGCGGAAAGAGGTTCAAGAGGATAGGAGAGCGGAAAGAGGTTCAAGAGGACAGGAGAGCGGAAAGAGGTTCAAGAGGACAGGGGAGCGGAAAGAGGTTCAAGAGGGAGAAAGAGGTTCAAGAGGACAGGAGAGCGGAAGAGGTTCAAGAGGAGGAGAGCAGCAAGCGGAGAGAGGTTCAAGAGGACAGGGGAGCGGAAAGAGGTTCAAGAGGATAGGAGAGCGGAAAGAGGTTCAAGAGGAGAGAGTTCAAGCGGAAAGAGGTTCAAGATGATAGGAGAGCGGAAAGAGGTTCAAGAGGACAGGAGAGCGGAAAGAGGTTCAAGAGGGAGAGCGGAAAGAGGTTCAAGAGGACAGGAGAGCAGAAAGAGATTCAAGAGGACAGGAGAGCGGAGAGAGGTTCAAGAGGACAGGGGAGCGGAAAGAGGTTCAAGAGGATAGGAGAGCGGAAAGAGGTTCAAGAGGAGAGACAGAGGATAGGAGAGCGGAAGAGGTTCAAGAGGACAGGAGAGCGGAAAGAGGTTCAAGAGGGAGAGCGGAAAGAGGTTCAAGAGGACAGGAGAGCAGAAAGAGATTCAAGAGGACAGGAGAGCGGAAGAGGTTCAAGAGGACAGGAGAGCGGAAAGAGATTCAAGATGATAGGAGAGCGGAAAGAGGTTCAAGAGGGAGAGCGGAAAGAGGTTCAAGAGGACAGGAGAGCGGAAAGAGGTTCAAGAGGATAGGAGAGCGGAAAGGTTCAAGAGGGAGAGCGGAAAGAGGTTCAAGAGATAGGAGAGCGGAAAGAGGTTCAAGAGAGAAGGAGAGCGGAAAGAGGTTCAAGAGGACAGGAGAGCGGAAAGAGGTTCAAGATGATAGGAGAGCGGAAAGAGGTTCAAGAGGACAGGAGAGCGGAAAGAGGTTCAAGAGGACAGGAGAGCGGAAAGAGGTTCAAGAGGATAGGAGAGCGGAAAGAGGTTCAAGAGGACAGGAGAGCGGAAGAGGTTCAAGAGGATAGGAGAGCGGAAAGAGGTTCAAGAGAGAGCGGAAAGAGGTTCAAGAGGATAGGAGAGCGGAAAGAGGTTCAAGAGAGAGCGGGAAGAGGTTCAAGAGGATAGGAGAGCGGAAAGAGGTTCAAGAGGAAGGAGAGCGAAAAGAGGTTCAAGAGGACAGGAGAGCGGAAAGAGGTTCAAGACGGAAAGAGGTTCAAGAGGGGAGAGGAAAGAGGTTCAAGAGATAGGAGAGCGGAAAGAGGTTCAAGAGGACAGGAGAGCGAAAGAGTTCAAGAGTAGGAGAGCGGAAAGAGGTTCAAGAGGACAGGGAGCGAAAGAGGTTCAGACAGAGAGCGGAAAGAGGTTCAAGGAGAGCGGAAAGAGGTTCAAGAGGACAGGAGAGCGGAAAAGAGGTTCAAGATAGGAGAGCGGAAAGAGGTTCAAGGAGAGCGGAAAGAGGTTCAAGAGGATAGGAGAGCGAAAGAGGTTCAAGAGAGAGCGAAAGAGGTTCAAGAGGAGGAGAGCGGAAAGAGGTTCAAGAGGGAGTTCAAGAGGACAGGAGAGCGGAAGAGGTTCAAGAGGACAGGAGAGCGGAAAGAGGTTCAAGAGATAGGAGAGCGAAAGAGGTTCAAGAGAGAGCGGAAAGAGGTTCAAGAGGACAGGAGAGCGGAAAGAGGTTCAAGAGAAGAGCGAAAGAGGTTCAAGAGGACAGGAGAGCGGAAAGAGGTTCAAGAGAGAGCGGAAAGAGGTTCAAAGAGGACAGGAGAGCGGAAAGAGGTTCAAGAGGACAAAGAGGTTCAAGAGGAGAGCGGAAAGAGTTCAAGGTAGGAGAAAGAGGTTCAAGAGGACAGGAGAGCGAATTCAGAGGGAGAGCGGAAGAGGTTCAAGAGGACAGGAGAGCGGAAAGAGGTTCAAGAGGACAGGAGAGCCGGAATTCAAGAGATAGAGAGCGGAAGAGGTTCAGAGGATAGGAGAGCGGAAAGAGTTCAAGAGGACAGGAGAGCGGAAAGAGGTTCAAGAGGATAGGAGAGCGGAAAGAGGTTCAAGAGGACAGGAGAGCGGAAAGAGGTTCAAGAGCACAGGAGAGCGGAAAGAGGTTCAAGAGGACAGGAGAGCGGAAAGAGGTTCAAGAGGACAGGAGAGCGGAAAGAGGTTCAAGAGTAGGAGAGCGAAAGAGGTTCAAGACAGGAGAGCGGAAGAGGTTCAAGAGGATAGGAGAGCGGAAAGAGTTCAAGAGGTTCAAGAGGACAGGAGAGGAAAGAGGTTCAAGAGGAGGAGAAAAGAGGTTCAAGAGGACAGAGAGCGGGAAGAGGTTCAAGAGGATAGGAGAGCGGAAGAGGTTCAAGAGGATTCAGAGACAGGAGAGCGGAAAGAGGTTCAAGAGGATAGGAGAGCGGAAAGAGGTTCAAGAGGATAGGAGAGCGGAAAGAGGTTCAAGAGGACAGGAAAGAGGACAGGAGAGCGGAAAGAGGTTCAAGAGGACAGGAGAGCGGAAAGAGGTTCAAGAGGATAGGAGAGCGGAAAGAGGTTCAAGAGGACAGGAGAGCGGAAAGAGGTTCAAGAGGATAGGAGAGCGGAGAGGTGAGGAAGGAGAGTTTTCAAGAGGACAGGAGAGCGAGTTCAAGAGGACAGGAGAGCGGAGAGAGGTTCAAGAGGACAGGAGAGCGGAAAGAGGTTCAAGAGAAGAGCGGAAAGAGGTTCAAGAGGATAGGAGAGCGGAAAGAGGTTCAAGAGGACAGGAGAGCGGTTCAAGAGGAAGGAGAGCGGAAGAGGTTCAAGAGGGAGAGCGGAAAGAGTTCAAGATGATAGGAGAGCGGAAAGAGGTTCAAGAGGATAGGAGAGCGGAAAGAGGTTCAAGAGGACAGGAGAGCGGAAAGAGGTTCAAGAGGATAGGAGAGCGGAAAGAGGTTCAAGAGGACAGGAGTTTCAAGAGGACAGGAGAGCGGAAAGAGGTTCAAGAGAAGGAGAGCGGAAAGAGGTTCAAGGACAGGGAGAAGAGGTTCAAGAGGACAGGAGTTCAAGAGTCAAGAGGACAGGAGAGCGGGAAAGAGGTTCAAGATTCAAGAGGATTCAAGAGGAAGGAGAGCGGAAAGAGTTCAAGCATTCACGGAAAGAGGTTCAAGAGGATAGGAGAGCGGAAAGAGGTTCAAGAGGATAGGAGAGCGGAAAGAGGTTCAAGAGGAGAGCGGAAAGAGGTTCAAGAGCGAGAGCGGAAAGAGGTTCAAGAGGATAGGAGAGCGGAAAGAGGTTCAAGAGGATAGGAGAGCGGAAAGAGGTTCAAGAGGATAGGAGAGCGGAAAGAGGTTCAAGAGGATAGGAGAGCGGAAAGAGATTCAAGAGGACAGGAGAGCGGAAGAGGTTCAAGAGGTTCAAGAGGATAGGAGAGCGGAAAGAGGTTCAAGAGGACAGGAGAGCGGAAAGAGGTTCAAGAGGACAGGAGAGCGGAAAGAGGTTCAAGAGGAGAGTTCAAGAGAAAGAAGAGGTTCAAGAGGATAGGAGAGCGGAAAGAGTTCAAGAGGACAGGAGAGCGGGAAAGAGGTTCAAGAGGACAGTTCAAGAGGACAGGAGAGCGGAAAGAGGTTCAAGAGGACAGGAGAGCGGAAAGAGGTTCAAGAGGACAGGAGAGCGGAAAGAGGTTCAAGAGGATAGGAGAGCGGAAAGAGGTTCAAGAGGACAGGAGAGCGGAAAGAGGTTCAAGAGTTCAGAGAGGAGAGCGGAAAGAGTTCAAGAGGACAGGAGAGCGGAAGAGGTTCAAGAGGACCATTCAAGAGTTCAAGAGACAGGAGAGCGGAAAGAGGTTCAAGAGGACAGGAGAAAGAGGTTCAAGAGGTAGAGCGGAAAGAGGTTCAAGAGGATAGGAGAGCGGAAAGAGGTTCAAGAGGATAGGAGAGCGGAAAGAGGTTCAAGAGGGTAGGAGAACTGAAGGAAGTTAAAGAAGGTAGGAGACCAGGAGGTTTATGAGGGTAGGAGAGCATAAAGGAGGTTCAAGAGAGCATGGGGTTTAAGACGGTAGAAAAGGGGTTCAAGACGGCCAACTTCGCGAGACGAAACTCTGGAGCCAAAGGAGCTACAGCGGCCTTCTCTCTCTTTATGCTTCCTCTCCCTCTCTCTTCTTTTTTCCTCTCCGTTTCTTCCCCACTCTGTCCTCCTCTTCCTCCTACCCTCTCTCTTCTTCCTTCTTCCTTCCCTTTCACCCACTCTCTTTTTTTCTCTCCTGCCCCTTCATTTCCCTCTCCCTATCTCTTTCTCTCCTTTTCCAAAATCCCTCTCCTTCCAATCTCCTCATAAACCGGCTTAATCCCCTGTGCTTCCCCTTCCCTCGCACGACGCCTGCCACCGAAAACGTCCTGCCGGTGGACTGTCGCCTCAAACAACACGAGTGCCGCTTACCTTCAACGTAGAGCTCGTCCAAACAGGGTCCCTCGCCTGAGGAGACAAAACGCTCGAGTTAGGCGGACTAATACACCCTACATATGCCGCTTAGCTTATCTCAGTGTGGCCCCTTTGAGGGGTCTGCCATGGCGCGAAAGGGGACCTACCTTGCAAAGGGAACACCGAAGGGAAGAGCAAGAAAACACACAGGCACATTCGTGTGTCTTCTGTTCTTCCCTCGCTGTTCCTTTTGCAATCTGTTCGACATGAATGGCACACGGGACCTACCTTGACCCGGGGGCAGAGAGAGCAGGCTGACCAGGAGGAGGATCCTGAGATCGGCCATCCTGACTGCTGCGGCTTGACCCAACGCTGCGCTGCCTGTGACTGACAGTTGCTGGGGCAGGCACAACCCTTTATTCCTAAAAGATAAGCAGATTTTTTATTCATCATAATTGGAGAGCAGGAGATCATTAGTTGATGCTCATTACGAAGATAAAACTTGTCGATTTTTGTGTGTTTATCGGAGTATCTGATTTCCTGGCACCTCCTCACATGCGGAAATCACGCGCTGCTTAAAAAGTTATTTTTGTTTCAAGTTCAGATACCAGCAAACGCCACTGAGATACACACGTCCATGCATGCATACATATTTACATATATGTACATATATGTCTCTCTCTCCCCATATATATATATATATATATATATATATATATATATATATATATATATATGTATGTATGTGTGTGTGTGTGTGTGTGTGTGTGTGTGTGTGTGTGTGTGTGTGTGTGTGTATGTATCTATCTATCTATCTATCTATCTATCTATACATATACATATATCTAATATGTATGCATACATATATATAATATATATATATATATATATATATATATATATATATACATATATAATATATATACTGTATATATAATACATATTCTGCATATGTATGAGATATATGTATATCTATCTATCTCTCTATCTATCTATATGTATATACATGAATATATATATCTATATATATATATATATATATATATATATATATATATATATATATATATATATTACATATGTATATATATATATATATATACATATATATATATTATATATTATATATATATATATATATATATATATATATATATATATATATATGTGTGTGTGTGTGTGTGTGTGTGTGTGTGTGTGTGTGTGTGTGTGTGTGTGTGTGTGTGTAAGATAAGCATATTTTTTATTCATCATAATTGGAGAGCAAATCAGATCATTAGTTGATGCTCATTACGAAGATAAAGCCTGCCGAGTCTCGCGTGTTTATCTGTCTCTGATTTCCTGGCGCCTCGCATGCGGTAATCACGCGCTGCTTAAAAAGTTATTTTTGTGTCGAGTTCAGATACCAACAAGCGCCAACACGATACACACGTCCATGCATATATACATACATATTTACATGTATGTACATATATATGTTTATATATATGTTTATAAATATATGCATATTTATAAACATACATATGCATATATATAATATATACATACATACATACATACATATATATATATATATATATATATATATATATATATATATATATATATATATATATACATATATACCTGAAGACTGTAGACTGAACGACGTGAAAAGTCAGGGCAAGGCTTATGTCCGACAACGGATTTAAAAAGAGAGGCTGAAGGAATATATATATATATATATATATATATATATATATATATATATATATATATATATATATATATATATATATATATATAGATGTATGTATGAATGTCTTTGTATATGTACATGAACCTATATCTATTTATCTATCTATCTATATGTACATGTAATGTGTATATATACATACACATACTTATACACATACAAATGCATGATCTCAATCTGTCTCTTTTTCCATCTATACCAACACACACACGCACATTCGCTCACTAAACCGCGCTTCTGGTGACAAGGAAACAAACTCTGCGTGAAGCCATTTATTGCTCGTTTCTTGAAGACTGATGGCGGATGATCCATTAGTGACACATAGCGACGATATGGTATCGCATATAACAGAGGACCACGCATGAAATAAGCATCATAATTAAGTAAAGCGCCATTAGTGCCGTTTACTTAATTAGGACGGAGAAGGCAACAAATCAACGGAACGCAGCATTCGAAATATCTGTGCTGTTTCCCGAGCTTTCATGGCAACGACGCAGCGCCTCGTGTTGGTGCCGATCTGGCCGCTGGGGAAAAAACTCCGCTGGACAGGGGAAAAACTCCGCTGGACAGGGAAAAAACTCCGCGGCCACAGTGGCAAGGAGGTGGCGGGAACCTGCGTCGCGTTGCAGATTCCAGTCGCCTCCAAGCAACCTTTGGCCGGCGAGTGGAAAAAACCTCTCCAGATGTCCCTAACAGAGCCAGTCCCCGAGGTCATGGCGCGACGAAGAGTGTGTAGAGTCGTCCACTTGTGATGACCTTCGGGACATCTGTGACATCACTTGACGTTCCCTGACTGGGTCTTCGTTTCGCAGAGGACTTCCCGCCCCGTGACTGCCTCTGCGCCTCCGTGCTGACGACTGAATGCGCACCTCAGGAAATCGTCTCCATCTGAAACGCAGAAACCACAGATTGCCAAACGACTGACACACACACAGCTAGAGGAAATGAGAGATTGAGTGAAAACCTTATGCAAAAAGGAGCGAGGTCAAGAGGCATTAGAGGAAATATTTTGTTTTCATGTTTTCATTTGTTTTTGCTCAGTGAAAGGTATGAAGCTTTCACTTCACCTTTCTGAAATACTACTAAAACATGTTTACTCAGTAGGTCCCCATTTTTTTCTTTTCAATAGTTAAACCCCAAAGCTTAGTCCTCAAAACTGACTTCTCTGAATACCTCAGTTCGGGTCAACGGTCAACACAGGTCACCATCAAGGTCAGTGTCAGCAAGATTTTCTGACGCCACCCACAGCGGTCTCGCCCTTTCGCCTTGACCGCAGGAGACATCGATGTGAAGCTGGAAAGGCAATGAAAAAAATCCTCATGTTAAAGACGAATGAATGAATAGATAAAGAAACAAATATAAAGAAAATAATCCGATCACCTATGGTATTCTCTATTCTCTTCCACAATCAGGATCGAATGCCACCATAACTAGCACCATTATCAGGAACTATTGTGTGGTGAACGTCCCCGTGAGTAAGTCCCAGTGGTCATCAGAATATTCAAGTGTATCCTCCGTCCTTATTTCACCATCACTCATGACACTATCAAACATTTCCTTCTAAACGCAGCTTTGTGGTCAGTGGTGCGCGCCAAGATAAGCATAAACTCATTCAAAGATGAAGTGGAAACCGTATCCTATGTGGGATTTGTCAAGCTTGTTCGATACCAGCGAGTGTCCTGCACAAGATCGTGTTGTGTCACTATCTTCCCCCTTTCCCTTTGACCGCACCATGTCTGCCATTATCAGCTTAAAGGACAGTCATTCACATATACCATTATTAAGTTACCTCCAGTGCCGCGGGCGTTGGCTTTCATTCAGCGGGTGTATCTCGGCGCAGATTTGGGAGTGGCTCAGATCTATGAGCTGTTGGCGAATGAAATCCTAAAAAGGAACTCTTTGGAAGTCGGTAAGTAGTTAAGTAGGGTAAGCATATGAGAAAATCCGTATATCAGAATGCAGTTCATTTTGTAAATATCAGTTTGAAGTAAATTCAATAAGATCACAGTCGCAACTCTTAGAGGTGGATATATATATAACCGCTTACCTGGACGGAGAGGATATATTTCTTTTGGCTGCGACCAGGAATCCAAGCCGAGACATCGCAAAATCTGTAGACTTTGCCTAAGGGAGGCGCAGAACCTGAAAATCTGAAATCTGAATTAAAAATGTAGATCTACTGAGAGAAAGGATTATCGATCTTACTGCCGACGAACTTGCAAGCTCGGAGATGCTGGAGGGCTGTAGGTGGCCCTTTCCACACACGAAGCCGAGGCAAACATTGCAAAACACTGGCTGATGTTCACTCAAAAATCCCCTTCACATTCTCTTACCTCAGAAATAATGAACGGAAATACAATTCTGCGTCAATATATTTCCAAACACCCTCAAAAAGAGGAAAAAGTACCATATGGGGACCGTGTGCATTCCTCAACCTCAATAAAGTGCCATTCCGTAAAAAAGAAGGAAAAGTCCCTTGTATTATTACTTTTAACCTTTTTATGAACCTCGATTGGAAATCGAACGCCATTCTGGGCCCAAACCCAAGAGAGAGGGGAGGCCACGCAGATGTCCACGGTGGTAGGCGGTTTCGTGGAACAACGGTTGGATTTCGCCTTCGTCAGAGTCACTTAAAAACGAGGTACCCTTGGCCGGTCTACGCAACGACAGTTGGGTTTTGCCAGCAACCCAAGTCACATTCAAAACCAAAGATACCCTTGGCCGGTCTCCTCAACATACCTTCTCTGGCGCACACGAGTAAGGGAAAGGTCTTACTGGTTTTATCCCCGTCGACCGTTGAGATGCTGCTTGGGCTGGCGAGTGCAGTGGGGACGTCTTCCGGCGGACCACTCGCAGCAAGGAACATTCCGAAAGAAGGTCAGCGCCGCTACCTCTCGTGTGGCCAGGGTCAGAAGCAGCCATGGCAAGGTAATGAAAGAATATTGAGCCTTGTTGATTTCTAACCATGGGAAGAGTTCAAGCATGACTGAGGACTCCTTTTCTAAATCATTTCTCAAGAGCTAAAATGAACATGAAAAATCTCTGCTAACCATTTGTCAACAGATTCAAGACAAGGCCACTGACCTGTGTGCCTAGAGACCAGGGCAGAGAAGTCGAAGTAACTCCATGTAGGATCTCTGGTCTTGTTTACGCTGATGATGACCATGGGTGTCCGCAGTATGCAGCGCTCATGAAGTTCAGGTTCAGGGAAGGGCAGCTGATGCCACACGAGGGTCCTGGACGCAGACGAGGAACCTTTAGGAGCCGGACCGGG